TGTAAATCCTGAGGCAAAATGCTGGTGGGTTTGGTTTGGGTGGCATAGAGGTTATACGTAGAGCTGCTAACTGCCAGGTCAGCAGTTCAAAACCATGCACTCCCCCTAGAGAAAGATAAGAGGTTTTCTATTCCCATCAAGAGTTACTGTCTTGAAAACGCACAAGAGCTCGGTTCTAGCCTGTCAGATGGGGTCACACGGACTTAGAATCGACTCAGTTGCAGAGGGCTTGGGTGTTCAGAGCTTATGTGTTGATAAGACAAGATTCGATTGTATCTGTTATGTTAATGAGGCAGGGTTTGGGTTGGGTACCATGCCCTTTCTCAAGTCACCATCCTGATCTCATGTAAGGGTAGGTTTTCTGGAGTGTGGCCTGCATCACGTTTAGCTCATAAGAGATAAAAGGGGAGAGAAGTGAGCAGAGAGAGAGGCCTCAGTACTACAAAGAAGGAGAGGAAGAGGAGGAGAGGAGTTCCTGGATCCTGTGGAGCCTGGGTACCTATCCTAAGAACCTCTTAGACCCAGAAAAGAATTGATGTCAAGCTATATAGTGGTTTTGGAGGGACACCAGGCCCATAGATGCTGAAAGGAGATAAGAACTTTCTCCCTGAGCAGACACACAGCAAAAGGCTTCCCCTCAGGCTAGCACTGAAAGCTGTGAGAGAATAAATGTGCTTGTTCAAAGCATCCACTTGGATGTTTCTGTTACAGCAGCACTACATATCTAAGACAACTGTGGGTGCAAATTTGTGCGCTGTATGCACGTGAACTATTCCTCTCAAGTAGTTCTGTGGGGCTGCTAACCACGACGTCTGCTTCCAAACCCAGTACAGCTTTGGAATCTCTGCAGGGCAGTTCTGTGCCATCTTGGAGGGTTATTATCATAAGATGATGCCAACATCCCAGTGGGACCCGGTGGGATGATCAGAAAGTGAGTGTAGAAAGGATGAGAGAGCAAATGCTATTGAGAAGGATGCCCATGAGGTCAAAAAATAGACAACCGCATTTTAGAGGTTAAAATATATGTGTTTTTTCAAATGTTTTAAAAAAGTGAATGTGTTTACTGATCTTGAGATGTTTTCTTTCTTTCCTTTTTTTTTAGTGCTGTTGTGACAGAAACATCACCAATAGTTGGCTGTTTGTGTTTGTTTGTTTTTAGGAGCACTTTCTACAGCCCCCAAACCAAACTCCTTGCATCAAGTAGGCCAGAGCAGAAGGGCCTCTGTGGGTTTTTGAGACTGGGCTCCTCACAGAGCAGAAAGCCTCGTCTTTCAGCCAAGGAGCAGCTGGCAGGTTCCAACTGCTGACCTTGTGGTTAGTCACCCATGCTCCTTTCTCTATCCCCAGAATCCCTCACTCCCTTGCTGATCCTCACATTTGCCTTCCCCAGTTGATGCCCCCCTGTGCTCTGTTCTTTTTATATCTCAAAGTGATTAAATGGAATGCATCCCTACACGGAGACAGACTCCTCACCATCACCAAGAAAATCCAACTCCCAAATGGGATTCCATTCGCTAGCATGTTGTTGGTCAGTAGCTTCCAGCCAGTTCCACCTCACAGCGGCCTTATGGGGCTTTCGAGTCCCATACATATGTTGGCACAATTCAATCAGTAACAGAAGTCAAGAATAAATTCTTGACAATTGATAAGAGGTCGTTGGTGGTCATGACAGGAAGTTTCCATGAAGTGGTCGTGTCAAAAACCAAAACAAAACAAAAACGGGATGTAGTGGATTTAAAGAACCGGAGGAGAGAAATTGGAGCTAGTTAAACCTTGATAACTCAGTAAGGAGATTTCATAGTAAAATAATCTGAGAAATAGAGGGCAGTAAGTAAAAGAAAATGTTGATGAAGAGAAATTGGTTTGAGCTAGGAGAAAAAGGTATATTTGAATGTACATAAGAATAAGAGAGGTTTCACACATGGACTCCACAAATATGCATGTGGGTTCTGACTTTGGCTCCATTCTAGGTCCCGAGAATCCAGAAAGAGTGGGAGAGGAATCTGTTTTCGTGGACAGAAATGACAATGGCAGCCAACGGATAATTTTGTGCTTGTGTGTTTTGCCTGTTTAAGGAGATGTGATTATTGCAACACAGTCTCAGCGCTAGGAGAGGGCAGCCGGAGGGATGTGGATGTAATAGGGTAGAGAGCGTGCCTATCAGCTAGCGGCCATCAGAGGAACACTCTGTCTCTTAGCCTGGTTTTGTTCACTAAATTTTCTATCTTCCGGTTTTATGTCACATGGCCCCAAATAGTTGTTCTCTCCCTGGCTCCTCCCTTCCTTTGAGGAGGGAGATTAAAACGTGTTTGTATCACTAGCGAGGGTTCAAGAAAAAGACTAAAACATTTAATCCAAATTTTAAGTCACCTGATGGTTAATCGCAAACAGCAGATAGATGGGCAATGACTTAAACAAGGGGAAAAAACGAAAGTGGCCCGTACGGGGATCGAACCCGCGACCTTGGCGTTATTAGCACCACGCTCTAACCAACTGAGCTAACCGGCCAACTGCTCGCTGCACTTTTTATGTATTACAGAAGTAGTAAGCTCGCTGGCTGCTCCCCTGCTACTCCAAAAATACCATTGTTCCCTTTAATAATTTTAATTGTAACTCAATAGAAAAAGTCCTCGTGGCCCAATGGGTTAGGCTTGCAGCTGCTCACAGCAAGTCGGCGGTTGGCAGCCAGGAGCCCGCTCCAATGGGCTCTGTCCGCACCTATTTAAAACCTCGGGAACAATCGGTGGCAGTGCGTTTGTTTAACTAACTCTTTTTTTCCAGCTTAAGTTAATACTTTCGCTTGCCCTTTTCCACGCTCGCACAAAAAGAAAGAAAACCTCTCCGTCCAGCAGCAAGGAGCTCCGCTCTTCGTTAGTCTTTCTCGGTTGGAGGCCTTCTGGAGCTCGTCGGTGTCGTCCAGGGAGCAACATTCCCTGAGAGGCGTCTTCCTCCTCCTCCAGGATGAAGCCCGGTCTAGGATCTAGTCCAGCTGCCCCGGCTCTCGGCGTGGGGACCCCCCTCCAGACCGGAAGGTCCCTGGGAGACCCCCTTCTCAGCGCTGGGTGCGAACGCCCGGTGATGGTGGAGACCCCTGTTGGTCCAGGTGGGTATTTTAATGAGCAATTAACTGCTTCTGTTCCTTTTTCCTTTCCCAGAGTTTTCCCCGACGGTGTCGTCTCCTTCTTTCCTCTTCTGGTCCCGCAGTTTGCCCCGCATGGAGGCCTGCTCAGGGATTCATTTCATGGATGGACGAGCTCGCATAGAAGAAGGCCACGCTTGTGGACGATTTTTTAGAAAAATAAACAAGGGCTCTAGGCTTCGCTGCCCTCATACAGACGCTTACAAATCAATAATGTAAAAATAAAAACCAAATTAAAATTGGAAAACTATTTGAATAGAGAGTTCTTCACAGAAGACATATACATAACTCACCAGCACATATTGAGCTTCATCATCATTCATTAGAGATGTGCAAATTAAATCACAAGGCGATATGCCCTTCCCACCCACTCGACTGTGCGCAGGAGAAAAGGCAGACAGCTGGGTTGTGGAGGGGAACGTGGTGCTCTCAGGCACTGCTGATGGAATGCAGAAGGACATGGCCACTTTAGACAAATTTTGGAGTTTCTTACAATTTTTATATATTCTTATGAATTGAATTGTGTCCCCCAAAGTTAATTGTCGTAAATTCAAATCCCTATACCTGTGGGTGCAATCTCATTTGGGATGGGGTTTATTGGGTTTTTAACCAGGCCCTATTAGTGTAACCAAGCAACCCCAAACTCACTGCCATCAAATCAATATTGACTCACAGCCTGGAACTCCCTTGGGGGTGCACAAAAGCCTCATCTTTCTCCCCAGTAGCCGCTGGGGGTTCTGCTTACTTGGCAGTTAGCAGCCCAATGTTGGCAGGATGTGTCGTAACTCCATCACTTTCCCCAAATATTTCATTCTGCTTTCAGTGGAAGCTCACAAAGCAAATGAGGGCCTACACGGCCCATTTAACAATTTCTACCCAAAATATTTGGTGACGTTGATTACATTTTTCACAACATGTTGACATCTCGTTGTTTCAGGTCTGGTTGTTCTGATTCCTGTCATCTCATTGCCCTGCCGCCTATCTCCTCAACTCTGCTTTAGAGCAGTGGTAGACCATTTGAATGATTTTTGAAAGCAGTGCAGTACTCACGGTTGATCTTATTCCATTCACGAGCCAATCTTTAATCTCTCTAACTGGGGACCTTAGAGAATAGGTCTGGTTCAAGATTTAAAAAGGCATCTCAGGACAATAGTACTAGAGAATCCTCTAGTCTCGACTGGTGTTGTAAGGCTGGACTTTGAAGAACATGAGTTCTGTTTCACATCTTCTCCCGATTTATGAGCACCCACATATTGACACCGCTACACTAGTCGTATCCAGACACCATCTAGCTCAGCTGGTCTGGGGCAGAGGGAACCATGGTTTGTGCAGACGCTTAGTCCTGCAAACGAATTTTTGTTTTTAGTCTTTGATTTCCTTCTTTGTCTTTTGTGCCTGACAAGTAGAAACCACGAGTTGTAACTCAGATGGCCACGTGCCAGTTTCAAGATGCCAGACAGTACTCAGCAAACTAGGATGTGGAACATAAACGTTATCAACTATATTGTGCCGATTGACCAGGTTGTCCCATGAGACTACGAGCCTAACCCTTCAAATCTAGAAAAGTATCTCATGAGGTATTTGGTTATCTCTAAGATATATCCATAACTGTACCTCTTATATATGTATGTACTCATACATACATAAAGTGGAGGACAATTACATCCAACTACAAAATGAATGATGACTATATCATTATATGGCTGTCAAACGGCTGGAAATCATGAGTCAGCCAGGTTGATACAGAACCTTAGCCATCACAGTTTCCACTCATCTTATTTGGTGGCAACAAACTGCTCAAACCCCTTGTTGGGACACAGGCACTTTATCGGCACGGTCTCCCCCATCATGGTGTGGATCACAGACACTATGGCTTGAAGAGGATATTTAGTAATGCGCTGCACTGCATGGTTGTTCTAAAAGATGAGGCATTTGGCAATGGATGAAATGGATGAAAATTCCTACCTTCCTGGAGCAGAGTTGCCAGACAGGGAGACAGAGGAGGAGCCATTTAAGTAAAGAAAGTATGCATAGTATGAGGGGCATCCAAAAAATTCTTGGGAAATGCAGTGAAAAGGTAATGGCGTTTTCCCATGGAGTTTCAGAAGCACTTTCATATATCTGATAGCGATAAGGATGAAGCAAAAAGAGGAACAGGGGAAGGCACACATTTGGCTAATTTATTTCTTTAAATTTTAATAAATCATTTTATTGGGGGCTCATACAGCTCTTATAGCAATCCATACATCCATTGTGTCAAGCACATTTGTACATACGTTGCCATGATTCTTTTCAAAACCTTTTCTATCTACTTGAGCCTCGTTTTTCCTCTCTCCCCTCCCCTCCCCTCACCCCACTCATGAACCCTTGATAAAGATGACCATGGAAAAGCTTTCTGAGCATAAGTTATTTGAGAAAAAAGATCACCACAGTTATTTGGTTTATGGCAAAATAGAAATACAGAGAGTCTGAACCATAGGGAGTCTAAAGAGCGTGGTGAGATTGTGAGACACAGAGCAGAGAGTTAAGGGACAGAAAAGAGGGAGACTGGAAAAGAGAGGGGTCGAGGCTGTAGGACAGAGAGAGGGGAGCTGAGTAGAGGGAAGAGAGAGAGACAGAGGGACTAGAGGACAAAGAGAAGAGAGACTGTGTATTAAGGAAAGTTGGGGTACTGAAGGTATGCTGAGTGGCAGAGAGAGAAAACTAAATGGGCAACTGAGGGTCCAAGAAGAGGCACAAAGAGAGTGAAGACTGAAGGGGAGTGGGGAGAGGATTTAGGCACCGAAACGAGGAGCCTAAGATAAAGAAGGGAAGACTGGAGGCACGGCAGGGGCTACCAAAGCGCAGCAGCAAGGGAAGCCCAGAGCCAGAGCAGGGGAAGAGTTCAGGGCAGCGGGGAGAGGAAACCGGATAGCCCCACGCTGCAGGCTTCCCCGCAGACTCAGGCGTCCCGGTGCCGCTTGGGCAGTTCCCATGGACGCCTGCCCTGCCCTGGAGGCGTCTGAAAAGAAACCTGCCTTCCTGATGAATGATGCACTTGAGCCTGGCCTCAGAGGAGAAAATAAAGGCCCCCAGTGGGTAGGGAAGGACTTTGCAAAGACCACTGGACAGAATGGCCACTGGATCTGCCTCCTGGTTGCGTTCACTCCTCCTGGTTTCCTTCTTGAGGTCGTCAGACTCCGGTAAGGGGCGGGGGCAGCAGTGGAAGCCGTGGATGCTAACAGGGCCTGGCCTGATCCCCCCTTCTGTATCCCACAGCCTTCCTTCTTAGGCGACTCACTGAACATACTCAGCAGCTTCAGGAGCGTTCTGGACCACGCCTGGGGCTCAACCTGGACCCAGATGCTGCGGTCCTCCCCAAAGAGGGCTGGCTGGAGCAGCGGCTGGACCCTTTCAATGCATCTGATGGACGAGTCTTCCTGCAGGTGGGCAAAGAGGAGCAGAATGCACTGCCCCTCAGCCCTCTCCCACACTGTCTAGCAGGCTCCTCTTTACGTCCCTCGGCGCCTTCCTTCTCCTCCCTCACTTGGTCCTGCAGTGCCCTCCTTTCTGAACCCCCCAGTTCTTCGCTCTCCTTCAGTTCCCACTTTCTTTCCTGGGGACGTGCCTTCTTTTCACCTCGGACTCTCCAGACTCATTCCTTCCCCTCCCCTTCCCTCACCGCTCACTCAGCTTACTCTGCCCAGATGTGCAAGTCCTTCCTTTACCCGGCCCCGTCAACTCTTTCTGGCTTCCGAACCATGCCTTGATGTCCCCTCCATGTAGTATATACTTCCAGACATGCCCCACATCTGCCCATGGCCAACTTTGATAGGTTATTGAGATTTCAGCTTAAATATCTGCTTGACACAGGGTCTTCCCTGACTGCTCTATGTCACACCCTTCCACGATCAATCCATCTCCACTGCATTACCTGATAATTTTCTTGCTGGTACTCATTCTCAGGAAGTTTTCCTTACTATATTTATTGCTCTATTGATACTGACTGCTTGATTGTTTATTATCTGTCTCCCCTACTTAGAGTGTTATCTCTAAGCAAGCAGTTGCCACGGCTTTGATTGAGCTGCTTCTCCCGGTTCCCTAGCACAGGGACTGGCACTCAAAGTCAGCTAC